CTTCAGACCTTTGCCTGTTTTTTAGCTAATACTGCCTGTCTCTTAAAACCCAACTGCAATATTTTCTCCATCATGAGTTTTGCCCTGAACTGAAGTTCTTTGTATTTCTGCTGAAACCTTATAACCACTATTTATTGATCATGGTATCATTTAATGTCCTACACAAATGCACCTGCTTTTGTGCAGTACCACCGTGGAGGCTGTACCTCAGAGATACAATCGGGATGGATAAGACCATGGACTTTGGAGTCATGGACATCTGGGTTAAAATCCTGAGTTCTGTCATTAATGAACAGAGGCACCTTGGGTCAGTGAACCAGCCTCTTTGTGTCTCAGTTTCCTCATTTATCAAGTGGGACTATTGGTAGCACCTCTCTCTTAAGGTTGCTATGAGGATTAAATGAGATAACACATGTAAAGCATTAAGAGTACAATTCCTGGCACATAACAAACACTCAATCAATGACTGCTATTATGTTCTTCATTATTAGTATTAGCAGCACTTTTAGAATACTTTTTGATGCCTTTGTTTAGGCATTGCCTGAAATTAGTCATTTAATGGCATTGTTTTGAGGAAAAAGAAAATATGAAGAAACCACCACAATTGCTTTGGTAGACCCAATTTTTGAAGACACAGCTAGAACGGGAGTTGTGCAAAAGAGTGGAAAGTCATTGGATTTCTGTCGATTTCTAATGGGCTTTGGAGAGCTAGTCAGAGCAGCAGAGGCTCTGTGAACATAACTTGAACCACTTAAAAGACACTTTTTCCTCCAGGCAAAACTCACTCTACAAAAAGGAAAATGGAATTAAAAAAAAAAACTTTAGAAGACGGCAATATATCTAAAAATATCCCCACCACCAAAGAAAATTTGGCTGGAACACCTGGATTTTTCTGAGTATAATTTTAGTTAGGTAAACATTGAAAAGATGTATTTTCCTAAAAGAGGAAAGAGTAATTTTATGGAAAATGATGGTTGGCAGTAATCTTCAGATTTAGATCAGTTTTTCAAAAATATTCCTTGTTTTAAAGAGTGAGAGATGTGAATTTGAATAAGCTCCAATAATGATGATCTACACTCACAACCGTTTAACTGACAAAATTTACCCTCAAATAATCTTCTTTGTAGGATAATTATCTAAGAACATAGACACATAGATGTGAACTACAGTGCTTAATCATGCAATAGTTAAATGAAGTAACTTTTAATATGTGCACTAAACCCGTATATTAAAACCATAATATGGATTCATAGCTATCTAGGATATGCTTTGTCGGGCTTTGAAAAATAGGTAAACTCTCTTAAAAGTAAGCAGAAATATATTTAATATATAACTAAATTAAATGCCAAGCAGAATGGCACTGAATTTAAGGGAGTGGATTACGGTTTTGTGGTCAAATTATTTTTGGTATATTGAATGTGAATTCAAAAGGAAGACTATAAACCAAATTCTGAGAAGAGCTAGGGAACAAGATTTAAGAGCTATTTAAGCCCTTGCTAGACAAGGGCAATAATACAAAGACATAATTTACTATAGTTGAATAATAAGAAGAAAGTAAAACCCAGATATTTGAGCCTTTACAATCTGATTCTGTATCTATAGGTGTATAGACACACACACACACACGCTCAACACGTGTTAACATACCCACCAAGTACATGCACAGATCTGAATAAAAGGAGTGGTAAACATTTTCTGGAAGAGAAATTGAGCTGAACGCAGACACCCGTTTTCAATAATAAGGTCTGTTAGACTTGAATGGCACAGCAGTCTGTCGGGGAAGTAGTGAAATTGTCACAGACTGTTGAGTGATTCAAAATTAGATCAGACAAAGCTCTTTAAAAATATACTGTAGGAAACAAGGTAATGTTGGGAAGGCAACAAAAAGATGACCTAAATTGGTCTTTTCCACCTCTAACTTTTAATGCTTTCTTGTAGTTTAAAAATAAAGAGGTATAATATTTACAGAGGTACTGAGGGTTAGGGCCTAAACTCTGAAGTGTTTATTATTTAACCTTATTGTATATGATACTCATGGCTTTATTGTAGAAATAACAGAAATGTAGCTCTATGTCTTAGTCCTTTCCCCACCACCATGAAATCAACAATGAAGAAAGAGCTTAGGGTTCAGAGCGCTATTTAAGAAGTGGTTGGTAGATTTGTCCTTCAAAGTTCAGTTCTAAACGCGTTTATCCAACATAACAGACCTTGATGTTGTAGTAAAAATTAAATAGGATTTAGTTTTTTCCCCTATGTAATGTCATCATAACTGGATATAAACGTAACATAATGATGGAAAAATGGTATAGAGATTCTTTGAGAATTATTAGCTGATGTATATTAAAAACGGGAGATTGGATGAGAAGCAGCTTCCAAAAGAGTTATTTTTTTATGTTCTCTCTGACTCCCTGATCTTAATTTAAATAATTGGCGGTCAGATGCAATCTCTTTATATCATTTGGTTTCTCTTATATTCAAAGGCAGTCAAGGTACTACAAAAAAGGAATGAAATTGTTTGAGGAAGAAGGGCTCAATAAATTTTTCTAATACTTTTTTTTTTTTTGGTGAGGAAAGTTGGCCCTGAGCTAACATCTGTGCCAATCTTCCTCTATTTTGTATATGGGACACGGCCACACCATGGCTTGATGAGCAGTGTGTAGGTCTGCCCCCGGGATCTGAACCCACGAACCCCGGGCTGCCAAAGCAGAGCACGTGGACTTAACTATAATTTATGCTTTTTTCATTTAACCTATAGTGATTTGCTTAGAGCACTCTTGCTCACCTTTGGGAAACTTTCCTATCCTCATGTCAAACACATGCACTTTAACCAGCAGTGGGAACTTAACTGTTCCCTGGAGTCAACCTATGTGATCTTTTGGATAAACTAATGGTTAGACTTATGGCCCCGTGGATCAGCTGCCTGGAACCAATCCTGAGGGAGGCCTCCCTTATCTGTAGATTGTTTCTAGACCAGCTGTGTACCCTCTGCGCTGTCCAAATGCTTCGTGGCTCCATCCCTGCTCCATGTGACTGGTTTTACATAATATCATAGAAAATTGGCTTATGCTAACTTCTCTTATAATCCCTGCTTCTCAAAGTATGCTGTTTGATACAAAGTCCACGTATATGCAGAAAATGGAGAGGACGGTCATTTGCCCAGTTCTTAAAGTTTGCTGTGGTAGTAAGGCAAAATTAAATGACCACTTCATTTTCCTCTGGAAGTAGTGATGGGGAAGTGCTGTCCGTGGACCACATTTGCCTTGGTGCCTAGCTCACTGATAGGTGGTAGAAGATGTTCAATAAACATTTGTTGAATGAATGAATGAATGATCATTTCAAAGTAGGCTAAATTTTGGTACTACTCTTTCTGCTTTCCTTTATTAGCAACTGGCACCCTAGAGTGGCCAGCCCTGCGGGATCTGCATAAAGACAGGAGGAGGAGAAAGTATGGGAATTTAGTGCTAAAAGAATAAAAGTGACAATCTGTGTCTAGCCATCTTTTAAATCATGAGCATATGTACAATCTTCAACTAACCTTAAACTATTCACATGATGTATTGGGGGAAAAATCATGAATTTTGGAGACAAACATAACTGTGTCTATATCTTAACTTTGTTACTTACTAATATTCTACCCAGAGCAGGTTATTTAATCTCTCTGAGATTCTGTTTTCCTTCATTAAAATGGAGAAATTACCTTTGCCTTGGAGACTCATTTTGAGGTAAATCACTTCATACAGTGTGTATGTATGTGTCTCAACAATAGTAATAACAGTTTTCTTTTTTTTTTTGGTGAGGAAGCTTGGCCCTGAGCTAACATCCATTGCCAGTCTTCCTCTTTTTGTTGAGGAAGATTGTCCCTGAGCTAACATCTGTCCCCATCTTCCTCTACTTTGTATGTGGGACGCCACCACAGCTTGGCTTGATGAGCAATGCGTAGGTCCACGCCTGTGATTCAAACTTGCAAACCCCGGGCCGCCAAAGTGGAGCACGTGAACTTAACCATTATGCCACCAGGCCAGCCCCCAGTTTTCATTTTTTGAGTATCTTCTAGATGCCTGAGTCAGGGCTGGAGGGTGTACAAACATTTTCGTTAATCTTCCCACTAACTGTGCAGGGTGAATACTCTCATTCCCATTATGCAGGTGATTAATTTGAGAGTCAGGGATGTAAAGGAATCTACACAAGGTCGCAGAGCTAACAAGTGTGAGAATAGAGATTTGACCTTAAATTTATCTAACTCCTGACCCCAGGCTTTAGTTTACCCTGATTAATAAATATTATTTCTTTCCTTGCCCAAAAGCAATGGAAATAACCCAATTCTCCGTTTTCTAATTAATCTCTGTTTAACTTCTTCCATAGGGAGTAGCCTGATTCCTCATAATAGACCCCAATAGGACCAATAGTTTTGTTAATTCTGCTCACTTCTTTAGAATCTAGCTGTGGGCTCCATCTCAGCTAGTGTTTTTAGTTATCATTATTGGATCTCATATCTTTTCAGTAGATTTGTTCTATGTTATTTCAGATTAGATGTTGTAATACTGAAGCCAGAGAGGGTAGGGGATATAGTCAACTTTTAGAGCCACTGAGATAGCTCTGGTTTTCTATAACCAACCCGAGAGAGAAAATAAGATATAGCCTTCTGCATATGTAAATTACAAGGTTTCTATCTTCTGTCACCAATAGAATCAGAGATTCTTCTGGCCGTGTGTCTATATGTGATGTCAGTGGAAACCTTGAATATTAAGGGTGGAGATGTCTAACTTGGATGATCTGACCTTGGACCTGTTAGCAGAAGCTGGAAGTGCTTATAACCACAGCTGAGTCAGAAGGATATGAACCTTGGACTTATTCTGACAGTTGCCTTTAATTAAATGAGCCTGGCCTTATTAGATGCTGGCAACTCAGCTCTTTAAAAAGCACTAGTTCTTTGGAAATCTTCTAACTTTCCCAAGTTTTGTTTTTACTCAGTATCTTGGATTCTTTTTTTCCCTTTCCAGATTTATAATCGCTTAGATTCAAATTGCTGTGGATTCAGACCTCGAAAGGAAGATGCCTGTGTACAGAATGGACTGAGGCCAAAATGTGACAACCAAGATGCTGTGGCTCTAGCACACATTATCCAGCGAAAGCATGACCCAAGGCATTTGGTCTTCATAGACAACAAGGGTTTCTTTGACAGAAGCGAAGATAACTTAAACTTCAAATTGTTAGAAGGCATCAAAGAGTAAGTTTTGTGATATAGGAACATCTCCAGGACATCATTTATATTAAATAATTAGCAAGGTTTTGAGAAAAGTCACATCCTATGTCTGATCGATTTAACCCTTGAAAGGAATTGTGGATGTGGAATCTGAGAATGGAGGCTCAGAAAAGAGAAACAAACCCAAGTGGAACAGAACAAGAGTGCAGCCAGGGTGTCACTCTCACAACCCATGCAACCTACAAAGCTCTCACTACATTCACATCCATCATGTAGCTTGGCCCTCACTGCGCAAATCCATGTGCGTTAGGTTGGAAGCATGCAGGGATCTCTGGATTAGGAACTGGCAGAGCAGAGATAAGCAGGTGGCAAAGGCTCCATTATTAGGTCTTGGGACAGGGGAACTAACAGACATGCAGATATTGACATGGCAGGATGTCCAAAGGCATAATAAACTCGAGGGACTTTTATGAATGTGATGGAAAATTAGAGGCAATCTGCCAAGTAGAACACAGTATCAAAAGACAGAGGCTGTTTAATCCAGGTACGAGGGTTTTTTGAGCATTTGAAAATCCTTCCAGTAGACGTAGATTATGGGAAACAATATCTTGAGCTCAGATCTATTTGGAAATAAAAGAAACTAAGACACTTAATAGTGTCAGAAACCCCACCGTAGGCTAGATTTCAGGCTCCACCTCATAGCCACTCTTCATGGCCTTCTAACCTTAGAAATCAGAGTGACTAACAAACTGGAGTATGTCTGAGACTTGAAAATAGAGGGGTGCATTAGTAAAATAGTTAACCAGCTGTGTGAAGCTAAGTGACTGCTGGAAAGCACATGAGCAAGTCTAAAATTGAGGGTAGAACCTGGGTCTTCTGAAGCCAAGTCCAATAATTGTTCTGCAATAACTTGTGGTGTTCATGCTGTTACTATTTCTCTTGTCAATAATACTCTGAAGCATATTTCAATAGTTCTTCCCAGCACTATGAATTAGGTAATGTGGATTTTATGCACTTTCAACACTAGAGACAATACTGTTCCTATGAGAGTTTCATGAACCCCAATTTCATGAATTTTTGCCAGGTCTTGCCCTGTTATGACCTATTCCACACATCTCTTTGTGGATTGAAGGTAGAATATATGGTAGATTCTCTCTTTTATGTGTCTAAATTAAGGAAATTTTATGGGTAAGAAAATTTACATACCTAAGGCATCACTTACTGAGTTAATATTACAAAATCGTCTTAAATTCCTAAATTTCCTCTTAGAATTAGGAGTGCCTAGAGAATACAATCTATCTATTCCATCCATTCATATAAATATGAACACTCTTTTATTTATGCTTTCAAAGAAGATTTAACTTTAAATGCATGAGGAGTAATGAGTTTAAAGTTAAATCTTCTTTGAATATGTAATTCACACATTGAAAAGCAAAAATGAAGACTTTGCTAACCCATATTTACGCAGAGAATATTCCTGTTAATCAATGTAATGCAAAGACAGGTAATTTTTTTATTTTCTTTCACAGAAAGGATTAGTCACTGAAGAGATCATCTCATTTCCATCATACGTTCTGCCACAGCTAAATTAGTTGAAGGGCCATAGAATTTATAAATCATAGATTATTAATACTTCATAGTGCAAAAATGCCTACATAATTAATACTATGGCCACTAAATTAAATAGTCCATGTCTTCAGGGAGCTCAGAGCATCTTAGCGTTATTGAATTCCACACTTAGTCAGACTCATTAAGCACATCCAGCTCTGGCCTTTGGTCTTTCTGCAGCATGAGAAGTCCTGGAGCGCCTGGATCCCTTGTATTTCGTGCCCCCTGAGGGCCATCCCCAGCTTGCGCCATTGAAATTTGGAAAAGGTGCTTAGAAGGCTTGAAACTTTTGGCAAACTCTGCTCTTCAAACAAGTATATGTTCTTTTAGTTTTTAAGGAACAACTAGGTCTACTTGAAAATTACTACTAAACCCCAATATTTTTACTGTGCTTTCATCAGCATTTTAATGAAAGCTAGGAGGAGCCAAATTGGAGATTCAGCAAAACATTACTTATGAGTTTGAACCAGAAATTTTTACTATGTCCTTCAGATAATGTACGTGCTAGCTGTATACTTTCTAAATAAAGAGCAGAAAGCACAATGTACTCTCTTAAGGCAATTCAGCAAGGACCCTTCTAAATTGGCTTCAGGTTTTCCAGAGAGATGGTTCATTGTGGAATGCCCTGGCTCTAAAACTTGAGATTTGCTAAATTTGTTTGAAAACAATTTAGTATTCCAGGTTAATAAAATGCCCCTAGAGCCTCAGAATTTCTGAAGTATAATCTGAATCAAAGGCAATTCTTTATTTAATTGGGCATTTTGGAATGATTCCTTTCTCTTTTTACTACATATATTTTGGATTATTTTACATTAAATTCACTCATGCAACTTCTACTCAGGAAGAGTATTTTACTGAAATTGCCAGCATTTTGCTTCTCATATTTTCTTGCATAAAACCCCACGTTGACACTTATGAGGATACTATTCTACTTGACAGATTGAAGTGATTTCTATGGGTGAAATGAGCTGAAGATTGAGGAAAGGATTTTTGCCAGGCTGACAGAATCCTTGTTAATTCTTTGCCTCTCTTTGCCTACATATAATGACCTTCAGTAAGATGTTAGTATGTCAAGTTCTCAACGGTATAGAAAATTCAGTTCTCTTGAAACATATTCTTCTACTATATTATTATTAAGAGAAGTGTCAGCTTGACAGTGATAAAAATGTTTTGATTCTCAAGGTACTATTTGATAGTGTGATTTATGCCAGATTAATGAAGGGCAGAACAATTGGGTAAGGCATAATATTTCCAAGCAATTACTAAGACTGAAATATCATTTTATCTTTTCAGGTTTCCCGAATCTGCAGTTTCTGTTTTGAAGAGCCAGCACTTACGGCAGAAACTCCTTCAGTCTCTGTTTCTTGATAAAGTTTATTGGGAAAGTCAAGGAGGTAGACAAGGAATTGAAAAGCTTATCGATGTGATAGAACAGAGAGCCAAAATCCTTCTCACCTACATCAACGCACATGGGGCCAAAGTATTACCTATGGATGAATAACAAAAGGATCTTCTGGCTAGAGTACTAGATATATTTATGCATTTTTGTTTTTGTTTTTAAATCATGTACGCAAACCTCAAGCCCTTTTAGGAATGAGGCAATGTAGATGAAATACATAAAATAAATGAATTTAACCAAATATGTATGATAAGCCTGAGCATTATAGGCAGACTTAAAATGCTTTTGAAAAACATACTGCTCAAAAATTTTTTTGTTTATATTTGTCTCTAACATCATGTCACATGTCATGTGAGTCTCAACATCTGATTACAGAACAGTTGCAGTTATTACACCAGCTAGCTTTGTTAAAATATTTGTCATGTCGTGTAATAGAACAGTGTAAACCAGAGCTACTGATTCCTTTAATAAACCATATTTTATGCCATTTTGACTGGTCTGACCAAATACTAATAGGAATGGTTCTTGACATTCTTCTGTTTTTGATTGTTAAAGCAGAGTAGTCCCAACGCTACCCAGAGCCAACTCTACATTGGAAAACTGAGGCTCATGATCTGCAAAAACATCAGAGCATACAATAATTCTAAGTAGAAATGGTGGGTTATTTGCAAAACTATCAGTGTATATTCTATTGTATCTATAAATGATCAGCCATCTCTGTGATTCTGAGCAGCGAGAATCACATTTTCCATTTCTCTTTAGAAATTTATTTTGTTATCAGTATAGAAACCATCCAAATTTGACAATTTATACATTAGGTAGTTTTGCTCTCTCAATTTTGGTCCAATTTATGTCTAGTGGCTTAAAAATTAAACAATTTTAAGATATAAAGTTACGTATTTGAAACTGTACTTGTAGAGTATCTTTTTTTTAATGGGCGCTCTAAAAAAATTTGTAATTTTTACCAAAGGTGTACTATAATTTTCTATATATTTTATGAATAATAGTAAATTCCTTCAAATTTGTTCTGTGTAATTATATTTAAACTGATTTAATTGATATTGCCCAGATATTGACAGTAGGACCAGATATTGAAGGTGTGTAAATATATTTTTTGGCTTATTCCAATACGAGAAATATGAACAAATTAAACTAGAACCTGACTCTGTTGAATTCTCCTCAATGAAAGTGCATAACTGGAACTAAAACAGCAAATTTGGGCAATATTAAGCCTCAAACAATTCTCCCCAAACTCCCTCTACCAACTTTTTAATTAGGTGGAAGGACATGGACATATAGTATTTATGTGTTGGGTCTTCATGTCCTTGGAAGATACTCACGTCATCATGTATGTTAGATGTTCTTATAGAGGTTTCAAATCTCACACAAATCATTACTCTCCCACCCTCCCCACCCCCACACACCTCACCTTTTATTTAAAAGCTGATATGCTGACTTCTTTCCTGGAAAGCTCAAAAATACAATTTAAAAATGTTTATAATACATTTATCCTCTGTTTTCGCGGTTCTGTATGTTATTGCTAAAGGGACCCCATTTTCTGTGTTCTGATAGAGGGTAACTCAGCTTCACTGTAAGTTAGAACTAGTAAAGATATTACAATAAAGGTTAAGTTTTTTAAAAAGAACATATCTATAGATTCTAATTTATTAAAATGTATAAGGACAAAATGTCAAAATAACATGTTAAGTAGAAGAGAAGATAGACCAAGGAGAGGTGGATTATTTGATTGTCTGATTATAACTTTTCTAGGCTTGAATTCAAGTACTCCTTTTTAGCACCCTTATTTGCTGGGCTGACCCTTGGAGAGTGGTTTCCAGACTATTCTCCTCTTTGATTTTCCCTCTTTGCCCTGAGTGCCTCCCTCTGGTCCCACACATTCAGAATACTCTTTGGCTCTCCTGAGTCTCCACGTTTACCTGCTGCATTTGGGCTTTTTAAGATCCCTTTTTCTCTCATTAATCAACATATTAATGAAAAATTGGCCTAACAAAAGTTTGGAGACCCAGGTTCTACTTTGAGTCACTGACTTGAAATAACTCTGTCAAGTTGCCTTACACCTTGTCTTATCAAGGTGGCGTATTTGCATTTTAATATGCTTTTATGGACTATACCATCTTAATCCAAATTTGTGATATTGGTGGTGGGAATTCCAGGCTCCTTAGAAGGGAGCTTTAATTTTGTGTCTCAAGCTATACTGCTCTTGGGCAGCTTGGTCCTCCCATATGTGAGTCTGACTTTCTTTATTTGCCTCCAGTTATTCCAAAATGCTTAATATTAAATAAAAGTTCCGGGAACACATGTTTATTTAGTCACCTTTGCTTTTCAACAATGTATTTTGTTTTATAATCAGTGAATAATTCATGCTGTATTATTTTTGAATAATGCATAGCTGAAGGCCAAGCTTTTAATTCTAATAATAAGTATTACTCTTCTTTTCTCTTACTGAAACAGTGAGAATACTCTGTGCCTTTCAGATGTACTCAGATTATGCTGTGGTTTAGTTCACATAAGCACATTATGTGGTCTATTTATAACTTGATAAATTTAAAATAGAGCAATTTACCTTGGCAGAGATACAAAAGCTTATTCTTGTGTGATTTATTTTCTTTAAGCTGAGGATATGAAAATAAATGCATATCTTACAAATCTGTAATAAAAATATTAGAAATTAAAGATGTGAGCTTTTTATTTTGTAGATGGGTCCATTTTCTTTTGTAGATGGGTTACTTTTCAGAAGTTAAGTATGGAGGAATGTTTGCTATGTTTATCCGTAATAAAAGAAACAATTGAATAGTCAAGCATTTTATTGGATTGTGTTTGTGTATGCATGTATTTATATCATTATTAGTGATAATATGCTTTCTCTTGGTGCATGTATAGCATTGTTTTAGGTGGTATGCAAATTAGTTAACAGATATCATAAACTATAAGAGAATATTTAATTTTTGGCTTTCTTTTCTTTGCTTGGGGTAAGACTTAGAATTATGTTTAAAGTTTTCTTTATAGCATTTGTATTTATTAAGTTTATTGGACACTCGAGGAACTTATCGAAATATAAAATGTCTTAGACTTATGCTCAAAATATGTATAATCTCTGAACTTGTGTAATAGCTCGTTTGTTCCATTGTAACTTTAAACATACATTGCATTATATCTAATGAATACAATAAACTAGATGTAGATTCATTTACACACTATCTTATGAAATCCTAATGTTTATCTCAGCACAAGACAAAGTAAGGCACGTTTAGGGAACTAGTCTGAAAAGATGGTATGGAAATTGTACATGGGTCAAATAAAGACAATAAAGACCTTCCTCTAAAAACTAAATGGTATCATCAAGAATTAAGAACTTTTATTCATGCAAGATAAATCAACTTGTCAGAAAAATAATCTGATACTTGGAAATAGCCAGGAGAGATTTTTGAGTGTTCTTTCAGTGCAGTGCTGAGCTTGATTTTGTATTGAATGGGTTCTTGAACAATGTTGTAGGGCAGAGGTTAACTTGTAGATTTTTATCCCATAGAGATGCAAATAATTTCTGTCTGGTGGAAAAGACAACCCTAATGGTTTTATAGTTTATTACCCTGTTGGACATTAACCAGTTTTACATCTAGTCCAGCAATCTTATCCTAACATTGCCTATAAATAGTTAGCTTTTCAAAACTCGTTGAAATGCCTTTGCCATCTTACTGTTTCCCTTGTTAATTAATTATTTGAATAAAATCTTTGACATGTGTTCATTTTACATTTACATAGGAGTCACAGTTTTACCTTTTTGAAAATTTTGCTTTAATAAACTTTTGACTGCTGAGTCATATAATTTTATTTTCTTGAGAGTCATGATTTTAAATTTTTGAAAATTTTACTTAAACTGTCAAAACATAGTTACATGATTTAAGAACTGAATGGTACCATGTGATCAGCATCTTGTCCAACACCCTTAACTTCTGGATGAAGAAACTGAGGCTAAATGAGGCAAAGTTACTTGTCTAAATTTACAGAAATGGTTGATCTAGAATCTTCAGTGTTGGAAATGATTTCAAAAGTTAGAAAGCCAAAACTTTCTCACAGATTTCATTGTCTACAACAATAAAATAAGAAACACTAGCTCAATAAACCCTGAAAGTCTTACATGGGCATATTCATGTGTATTAATAATTTTAGGGCACATTTTTTGTGAACTGGCAAGGAGTGGAATAAAGCAAGGAAGCTTCTCATAGTATGAAACTTTTGATAATCCCATTGCACAGTTGACTGAGGCTCTACGATGTGTCGTGCTATGTGCTAGGCAATGTGGATGTACAAATTAATAAGTAACTTTTAGTGGGTTAATCATCAATTGAGACCTGTAACTAGACTTTAAGTTATAGCATTAGTAGAAAAAAGTTGAGGAAATCAATTCTTTGAGGAGTGTCCAGAAATAAACTCTTAGACTAGAGGGAAGATTTTGTACTCACAGTGAGTTTGACTCTATCTTTAATCTATTGTTGACATTACTGCTTAAAATGACTATTTGGAGTCATTTTTGTGGCTGGACAAATAGACCCATTCTTCTTAATATGTCCTGAGGACATCACTGTGTTCCAGTATGGTGGTACAATAGTAGATGCTCATAATGAAAACCCTGATTAATCAAAAACATGCTCGCGTATGTATGTTCTGGATCATTTTGAGAAGCTAATTAAAAGTATAGCCTATCTACACAATTCTGCATATATTTTCAAAGGACTTTTGGACCCTGGGATAGCCATCTCTGGAACTCTTCCCTCTCAGGTCTATGATCTCCCAGGTTAGGAACTCTTGCTGTATAGTATATTTAAGAAGGTGGGAAATAATATTGTACACTTTAGAAAGATCTTCACCTAATATGTTTTAAAAGTTTTGTTTTTATACAAAGGTGGAAACTTAGGTTCTGGAAAAAATTATTTAAATAATTTTTAAAATGATTTAAGCTTAATTTAAAATTATTTAAACTTTATTTAAAGTATTTAATGGGATACCAATAAAAGTTGAGGGACCATTGTCTTTAGTAATACTGTAATATTTTCAGCCCAGGCCATCAGTCCCAAATTCACTACCATTCATTTACTCAACTAGAGAATGAATCCTTTGATTTTACTTTTATTTAATCCTTTAATTTATTAAAGATTGTCAGTTACCTGATATTTTTGCTCTTCTATACAAAAGATCCCGGATAGATAGTCACTTACTTTCTAGTGTTTTAGAGCATGAAGCAAGTTCATGTATACAATTAAATGAAGTTATTTGATTTACTGCCAGTGGTTTTCTGGGCATGAGCATAATGTTCCTGCTTTTTATAAAACAATTTCCTAAACAAATGAATGAACTTTTCCCAATGGAATTATTTCCTTGCCATTTATGCAAAGAACTGTAACCCTTTCTTACTCTTCCTTTGGCCTGTCAGAAGAATTCAGAGTGTCTATATCATTCACCTTTTACCCCTCTTCT